GTCCCTGGTCTATGCAGAAAGATATGGGCAGTTTTGCAGTCAAGGTGAATCTTAAATCTCATAAAACACATCAAGGTTAGCAACCCAGTCAATGGTGGCATTCTGCTTTATGAAAATATAGTTGTGTACATGTCCTAACTGTCGAAAGCTTCACCAAAACTGCACCAGTGGGTGGTTCCAAGCTCTAAAGCAGTCAGAGTCTTCAATACCAGCAGTAACTTCTGCTTCAACACCCCCCTGGATTAACACATTCTCAAAAATCTCTTGCAGGACGTACAGAACTTGCTGGAACATGGGTTGATGGTTCTGGACTTTCACCCGTCCTTAAACAGCTGCCAGGTAGCCCTATATATCTTGGATTCCAGGAGAGGCTAGAGAGTTGGTACATTTTCCTGATGGTAACATCCTGATTAACTCCCTGTGGAGATTTTACAGGCAAGTCCAGCTGGAAGATTCAAGGGAGACCACAGGGAAGACCCAGAACATGCTGAAGCCCACAAACACAGCGGGACTGGAAGATGTGGCAAGGGCAACACACATTTGGAATACCTTGTTTAGCCTGTTGCAACCGTAAATTGTAGCCGGAAAAGTTACTGAGTATGGATGGATGGTTAGCGGGGGAAGTGTTCTCTTAAAGATGAATGATCTTAAAACAAATGTGTACTGTCAACCACAGAACTTGTACTCAGTGTACAGGGAGGAAACATATTAAGGAACATAGTTAACAAACCTCCTAGCTAGCGAGGCAAGCTATGGCCACATAAAATCTCTCATTGCCATTGGTTATTTAAAGATGTTATATGTGCTCACATTCACACATTTCTATCTTAGTTGATCAAGAATCCTTGACTTTCTTGGTTAGCAAGCTTTGTATTAGGAAAGCTAAGAAACCCTTTCCCAAATGATTTGGGACCTGTGCTTTTTACCCCCCCCCCCCCCCCCCACACACACACACACACACACACACACACAAAAATTATAAATTATTCCGCTGTCTAACAAATAGGGCTGTCTGAACTAACAGCCTTTTCTCTTCTGGAAGCATTTAGTCCAGAGACTCATTTGGTTATTTGCTTTGGTTGTGTTTGTCTTCAATTAAAACCACAGCATGTGTTTCAGAATAAATTACATAAAAACAGAGCCGTACATAGGGAAAAAAAAAGATTTCTTTAGCAATAGTCTAGCTTTGCAACTGTAATTACAGCAGGTGTTGGTAGAATGTTGAGTTCACTGTCGGTCCACTTTGTCTTCAATACTCTGATCTTCCATCAAAAGCAAACAGCTAACATCCAGCCTGTTTGAGCCGGTGGAGAACTTTTGTGTCAGATGTGTGGCAGAGGTTATGATCAGAACTGTTTTATTTGTGTACATATGGCCTCATGCAGAACTGTTGTGATATAAACATTACTATCCCTAATCCTCAATGGGAAACTTATTGTTACCTGTCTCAGACTGGAAAGCTACTATACAGTGCTTCATGATGTGATTGGGGGGATTAACACAGCATCCACCAACCAAATGGTTTAAATAGATTCTGTCCTCGTTGGCTAAATGCCTCATATTAACTGATGCATGAGTCAATGCATTTAATTGGCTTTCTGGTACACACACTCATCAAATTTTTTGTCCTTATTGGTCCAGCAAGCATTTTTTATCATGCTGAGAACATTCTGAGAAAGTGTGAAGAGCATTCTAGTAAGAAACTGCAGATGCAACTCTGTCTAAGGCACCAAAGTAGATAAAACCATTACAGAACAGTCTCGGCCTGGCAGTTGTACAAGGGCTGCTGTGCTGATAAGAATCCTTAGCTGACTTTTACACATATTGTCAAGCAGGTTTTAAGGTAGAATGGAAAGACAGGCAGAATAAGAGAAAGATTGGGAGCAATGGCATCTGGATGAGATCTGGCATAGAGTATATGCAGCACATGTGGTCTGGTATAATTTACAGTGTTGTCATGGAGGAGCGGGTTATAAGCAACTGTTTTGCCTAGCAACATTCACGGGAAGGTGGAAGGGGAAAATGTAGTGCTGGCAGGTAGGAAGAATATTTTAATACCGTGAGACATCAACAGTTTATGTGTTCCATCGGTAGTTCCAGCCTTTTCTGAACCCAACATGAGTGCCAAATAAAAACTATCTGGGTTTAAGATTTTAAATGATTTACTGTCACTGCTAAAATATTACTGAGCAGAGATGGACGTTAAATTGTAACTAACTTTCAATTATGATACAAACTACAACACACAGAATATAATGAAACTCAACAAGCCCAAAAGTCTGAGGTCATGCTACAGCGGCCTCTAGAGGCTGCAGTGTTTTTTTCCCCCCACACTATGAAGGCATCGGAACAGACAACATACTGATCATTGTGCTGCTCCTACCACTAAATGATGCTGGTGACAGTTACTACTACTAATGTTAGCTTGAGTGGGAGGCTGTAGGACACAGCTCACATAGGTAATGATGACAGGGCGTGGACATGTCATATATTGTCCTTTACTGGGCTGGTACAATTGCACTGTGAAACCAAAAGTAATCAGATCAAATGTGAGAAAGAAGGGATCTTGGTTCAGCTCAGTCCATAGGGACTTAGGTAGGGAACCGGAGGGTCACCTGTTCAAGTCCCCATCCGGACCAAATATGAACTGATAGCTGGAGAGGTGCCAGTTCACCTCGTGGGCACTGCCTTGAGCAAGGTACCAAACCCCCCAACCGCTCACTCTGACATCTCTCCATTAATGCATGTATAGGTCCTGTTTGTGCATGTGTGTATGTATATGACAATAGAGTGAAAACATTGAATTTCCCCTTTAATAATAAAGTATATAAAAATTAAAATTAAAAAATTACTGGGGGACTTCATGTAATTTACCTCTGTAAACCTCTATCTTTCATGTGTGCATGGGATAAGCAAAGTCCATTTTTCCTCAAACCTACTGACATCAGATATGATGTGCACAGTCATTTGTAAAATTACTCTACACAACAAAGAAACACTACAGCACTAGTAGTGATGATGTACAGTGTTTAACTATGTTCTTTTTTAAAAAAATGTGGGTCAAACAAACAGAACCGATTCTGCCACTCATTCTCACCGCATCCATCTCATCATCTTTCGCTCCTCTGATGGATAATGCTGTCAGAACTTTAATTTATAATTAATTTGTAATTGCCAGTGCTGCAGCCTCCATAATTCTTGACTGGGAAAGAGGTGTAGAGAAAACAAAAAAACTGTATAAAACCCCAAATCAATGAGATGCCAATTCCCATGGGCCTCTGTGTTTGGGAAAATTTGGTAGGTAATTTGCAGAGGAATTTTTACTTGATTTGAAGTAAAGGGAATTGCAAATTTGCACTGGATTAAGATCACAGACGACCTCCACAATTATTACAAATTTACTAGAGATGCCCAGGTAATACTAGTCTCCAACACTTTCGTCTTCCAGTATTCTCAGGAACCAAAGTTGTGTCAGAGGAGGAAATTTTGAACCAACGGTGGTGCTTTACCAGTGGTTAACAAATCCAGTAGAAATCATCTTGCTGTAAATATCCATACCAAATTGTGTACAGGTGGGATATGATCATTTGGACAAATTTAAAAGCACTTTGCTTTTCTAGTGTTATAGATAGTGACGGCATCAGCTAAGCAATGATGAAGATCTAGATCTAGTTATGATATCTTTCACTGTCAAGACTGGAACAAAAGTGACTTATTGATGATTTAGTTTAGTAATTGACTTGCTACAATGTTTTACATATGATCCGTCTTGGTCAAATATGTAGTTTGTGAAGTTGTGTACAAATTAACTAGTTAAACTTTACTGCTTAAAGTATCCAGCTGCTGTTTCCAGTAAAAATCAAATTTATTTCCTTTCTGAATGTAAATTCACAAATAATTCAGATTGTGTTACCTTGTCAATAAGCATTAAACATTATCCATCTCCCTTTGTAAAACAGTAAGAGTTCCAGCACACACTAGATAGAAGTTTTTGAACTAGCCAGAAAGATTTTAAAGCCTTGTGTCAGCCTAAACAATTCATCTTAATCTAACATAATGCAGTGATTAATTTATTTTCCTTTATCAGATAATCCATTAGTCTTGGCAGGCCTAACAACATTTTACAAAGCCAGAATCGCTGTAAAAAAAAAAAAAAGGTCTTTGGACCAATTTGAAAAGAATTCTTGTAAAGCTTTAAGTGTGAGGAATAAATATATTTTTCTCAGAGATTTATCATCATTAAATGTGAAGCACATTGCACACTGGCTCTGGTATCTTGAGTAGTGATGACAACAGGGATACAGAGATACAGCATGTTTTGCCTCATGTTTAATATTATTGGAAAAGTCTGTCTAGGGCAGTAAATGTAATGTGATAATGCCCAGATATGGTGTAATTGTCTTAAGGATTTAGTATTCCCTGTCACGACGCTAAATAAAATATCTTCGATAATTACAGGATTGAAGCCAGAGTGAGAGCTTCCTTACCTTGATGCTTTAAAAGCAGACATAAGCACATAATATACATGAGAACCAAATACCAGTACTGCCAAATGTTTGTAAAAACAGAGGCATCAAGAAAAGAAGAAAGAAGTATCAAACACTATTTTCACAAAGCCCATTGGTGCTTAGTTACAATAAGTGGTTTTTATGTGCTGTCAGCTTGAAGGACAACAGTGTATCATGGAAACCACCAAATGTGTGATACAAAAGGCCCATGCAGCCAAAGCTATTTTGTTGACTCTCACTTCTTTGAACTTTTCTCTTCTCACCACAGTAAAAACATCAGAACTGTAACAGGGGAAAAAAACTCAACTCAGGTACTCTCAGCTGCAGTAAATACTTTTCTAGACCTTGGCCAGATATAGTATCAGTGGAGACTAAAATAGACACTCATTTAACAGTTTCAAAGACCTTGGTGTGCGGCTGATATCTGGATGGAAAGTATTTGCACATACTCGTGTATTTGATGCAGGACTGCTTGGCTGTCTGGACTCTTACCTCACATGACTGGATGCAATGGATGTGTTGAGGGTCAGGGTACCACTTCATCATCCCTGTGCAGACTATGCTCTGGAAAACAAAGCATGTAAGAACAACGATTGAGCAATGCAGTCACAGGAAATGGATAACCACTGTGTTTGCCATAGAAAACAATATCACACTCAGTCAAAAAAGCATTTTTGTAGGAGTTTTGTAAGCCAGAGGCTCCAAAGTAGTACAAGTTAAGGTAAAGCCATTGATTTAAGCTGTCAATGGCCACAGGTAGAGGATAATGCCAACCGCCTCATGGACCACATCGGTGAGATTAAAACATCAAACCACCAGTCCATCCATTTTGAAATCTCTTCAAAAATGTTCCCCTATGTGTGCTGATCAACAGAGGATATTTGTTCTCTTATTCTAAAACTGGAATTAATAGTTAAAGAACATGTTAACATATTTTGTAACTTGTTAATCATTGCAGTTGGAGTTGGGTTTTTCCAAGGTTCTAAAATTATTTTCAAGCTCAACTTTGAAGACAAGAAAAGCTCCAGAACAGCTACTAATGGATCTTGTGGTTAGACTGTTTACAAAATCCTACTCCATGTTTATTTCAAATTCAGTGAAATGTGTGAGTGACTCAAAATCTACCACAGTAACATTCATGGAAATCTGAGACTTGTGTAATATATTATTTAGTATCCTGACACAACGATTCAACATGAAATGCAACTTGTACACAGCATGTATATACCAGGGGTAAAAAGTCATCAGAGGTGATAAAGAATCCTCCGGTTAATTCCAGAATGAGGATATAGGAAAAAAAATCTACCCTAGAATTAATGTAATCTTACTGCTACAAAATGAATGTAGTGTTGTGGTTGTTACTCATTACCCCTTTTGTGCCAGGTACACAGAACAATCTTCTTTATAAAAAAAGTATTGAGCTTTTTTAAAGTCATTCACTCCTTCATTAAACTACCTTTGAATGGGCACAAATTGAATCACACACATTTATGAAACAACCTTTAAAACAGCTTAACCTTCTTTCACAGGCATAACATCTTTTTTTCATAACTGCCTCAAAAATATTTCACAATCCCCCCTCTAATATCTATTTGATGTTGCTAAGAAAACAGCAACAAATTTCTCCTTCAAGCAGCTGTATTTATTCATTTCTCTCACAAAACAATACAAGATTAATTTGAACACATCATGAGAATGTTATGATTTACCTTCACCTCAAACTCATTTTACTGAATAGAGCTTGAACCCATTATTGTGTAACTCAGTGCAAGCTAAGTGAGCTGTTAGTTGCCACAACCGGCTGGTAACAATGACAGCTAATGTTACATAGTTGTTACCTGCTGCTGATTTCAACACAGATGTGTTGTTCATAATGTAGCAGTATCAGAATGTTACCGATCGGTTTTCTGATTGGCCTTCAAACCACTGAGCACTCTTACCTAGAGTATTCTATTTAAAATCCCTGCTCATCCTCGGCTCTGGCAGGCAGTGAGTTTATTGTGTGTGGGGAGATTTCATAGCAGTGGCACTAATGACTTAGCAGCAGTGCAAGGGAAAATACTGGTTAGTGTTTGCTAAATCAAAACAACTCAGCCTAATCAGGCTAAAAAACAGGATTGACATATCATCATATAAGCCAAGTAAGGTTATCATAACGCTACTGTACTCTTGCAGATAGACAAAAACTGATCTCATGAACTCCCTGTGACTCTGTCCTCGCAACCCCAAACCCCCCACCACCCCCTTTTCAAAAACTCATTGGATCTACACGAATTTCAAAAACAAGGGTGTCCAGTTTGCACCACTGTGCCCCTGTATGTTTAGAGTTTAGGATTTCAAAGACAAAACAATCATTTATCTTCATAATAGTTTGGACTAAATAAACAGGGCTCCCACAGTCATGGAAAACCTGAGAAAGTCAAGGAATTTCTTGTTTGCCAGGCCTGGAAAAGCCAGGCAATTAGTGAAATCATTAAAAGTTTTGGAGGTCGTGAAATTTTGCTGCGTGTAATAAAATTATTTGTTACAGTAATATTCCGTGGATAACTTTCCACGTTATGTAACATAAGTGCTACTTTATTTTCTGTAGCTGTTGGCGTAACATAGCATTGCTCTGCGTAGTTAAGCGTTGATGTGTGATGTTTTGTTTACCATCACGTAGGTTTCTTCATTTCTGTCTCTTCCTTAATGTATGCCAATTAGCTGGAAGTATTTTTGAATAGAGTTTAATATAACGCCTGACAAGTAAGGCAAAAAAAAAAAAAAAAAAGTTGTGACTGTGATCTAACACGTATGGTTATGATTCTCAAAGTCTGCACACCTGCTATACTTTTGAATGTACAGCATTTTTAAGATTGAGCAATTAACATGGGCAGCCCCAGGCTTTTTTTTTTTTTTGTTTTCTAAGATATTTTTCTGGGCATTTTTACATTTTTAAGCCTTTAATTGATAGGACAGATGAGCGTGAAGGGGGAGAGACACGCAGCAAAGGGCCACAGGCTGGAGTCGAACCCGGGCCGCTGCGGCAACAGCCTTGTACATGGGGCGCCTGCTCTACCACTAAGCCACCGACGCCCCAGCCCCAGGCTTTTTAATGGTCCCCCCTTTGGTTTTGTTTTAACTGCTCTGAAGGTAAAGCTGGGTAGTTTGAAGGTACGTCTTTTTTTTGTTTGTTTGTTTGTTTTTTTCAAACAACTTAACTTACTTGCCAACCTAACTGTCAACTGTGATTCCCTCACCATGGAAGCTCTACTGCTCCATGTCCGTGGACTACCTATAATGATATATCTAACATTTGGAGTAAAGTGTACCATACAGTTCTGTTCATGTTATGTGAATGGTCATGGAAATTTTCATCATGGATCCTTGAAAAGTCGTGGAAAACTTTTGTCAATGAAAAAGTGTGGGAACCCTGAATACAGTTATAGTACCTTACTGCTATCCACTAGCACTTGACCTACCTTACCATGAACTGTAATATAAGAATATAAAAATTCTGATTGCAGACTTGCAGTTATCATATTGTCTTCATGGACATATGCAATACATTATGACACATTCAAGCTTTTGCTGCCTTTTTGCAGCATTTGTTTGCATGAAAATGTTGTGATGGAAGAAAAATAACAGTTTTCTACAACTTAAGTGGACACAAAACTCCAAATTTTGTGGTGAAATTTGGGTGAGGCTGTGGTCTTCTGTCATTTATTTGACCCCAGGAATTTACAAGGTGGTTAGCAGATAGCTGATTGACTAACAAATATGGACAGAGAAAGTGGATCCTCCCCTGTGATTTCCTGTGCTGCCTGACCCAGCGAGGGAGACCTGATTCTGAGATTGGAGATAACACAATGCCTCGAAATCACAAGGCAGTGTCAGAGATATGGCGTAAGTAACCAGAGCTCCATCCAACTATTTGACCTTGGCAAGGGTGGATTAACTGGCTGGCTGGCTGGCTGACTGACCACCCAAAAGTAAGGCGAAACTGGAGCAGTGTTTGCGACAGCATTAACGTAGAAGCGATTTCTGAGATATGATATTGGGTAATATGACCCACCTTTAAAGCAAAACAACAGCGCTGTAACTCAGACCCAAGATCTTACATTCCTACGAGTTCGTTCACAGTGACTTGTATACTCTGTGTGTATTTCCTAAAAGGCTTGACGTCAACTGGAACCTTTACTCTTGCTATCTGTCTGTGATTTCCAGTAATGCAAAAACACTTTAAGGATAACGAACAAGAACTCACATGAGGTGGATTTTGTTGTGTGATAGTGTGTGATTAGCTGGTGCAGCTGGGAACTGAAAAAAGTTTAACCTAAAAAATTTGAAAGATACTGTCTTGCCAGTGCTTCAGTCAAATACCTGATATGAAACACATTTGCACATTGTGATGAGTTCAAAAATCTCAGCTGCAATTTGACAGAAGGATTCACATTTAGGCATTCTCAGTTACACAGAGAGACTTTTGAAGTTGAGATGATTTCTATTAAAAAAATCAATTCTGAACTTGTAAATTCTTGCACATTGCACATTTTGTTTGGTACTCTCACTGCAAAATATGCCAATTTAGCTGTAAAAATATGACTTAAACTGGAAAGGTGTTGTTTAAAACATTTTTAAAATGCTAATAGTGATGAGATGATTCTAATTTCCACTGCAATCTTCTGTAGCCTGCACAGAAAATGTGGCAGATCGTTTCAGTAGACTCAAGGACGTGACCTGAATCCAGGAAAGAATAATAATTGATCTTTATTAGAAAGAGCTGGAAATGATCTCACCCCACTGACCAATTTCACAGTGCATTTCTTGATGACTCAAGAAGATTTTTTTCCACTTCAGCTTACTTTTGGAACTTCAATAATTTAATTCCAGTGTGACTGGTGTTAAGGGGCATGAACCTTTGTGGATGCCTTGTGCTACAGCTAATGTAGCTCAATTTAAGACCAATTGAAAGAAAAGTCATCATCTCCCTTCATCTATTCTTTCACATAATATTAGCTCTAAACTACCAAAACATACAGTAAACCCTTTGTGTCATGTTGTTATTGGTGAAGCACTTTTTGCTCATTTTAAAACTAAGCTTGAAATGTTTCAAGTCCAGACAATGTTTGTCAAAGTGGCACCCAAGCGGCAACCTCCAGGGCTGAATAATAAAGCCAACATGGAGGTGCCAAAAGCTGCAGTTCTTCGAACAGCCACTTAAGGCTGGCTCCAGAAGCAAGTCAATCCCCACAGACGCCCCTGAAATAAACATGTTGACAGCCTGGTAAAAAAAAAAAAAAAAAAAAAGTTTTGGTTTCAACAACTAATTTCCGGCTTCATAACCACTGTATGGGGTGTGATTTTTTTCATTTTTTATAACTCACCCATTTACATTTTATTAACATTTACATTTATTAGGCATTATTAAGGTTGGGGCGGCTTTGAGTGACAGGCTGTCCGCTTATAGTGTCCTCAGCTTCTCAGTCAGATCCCCCCTCGGTCCTTCACACTTCCACCGTCTTGCCCAAATATGGTCACCTCTGGCTCCAAAAATCCAAAATGGCATCAGCTGAAGAGCCAAA